CCACTTTCTTTGTCCATTGCAACTTTTGAAGTTCAATACTATCAAACACATAGTTCACAATATGTTTGAGTTTTGTGTCATCCAGCAATTTTTAGAATCTGTCCTGTACATTCAAGTCTAGTTCATTAATATGCATCAAGGAAAGCAAGGATCTCAATACCGACCCTTGGGAAACTTTTCTATAACAAAATAGGATGTTTCCTGTCAGTCAGCCAACTTTATATCCACATTTCTACTGTTTTTTTTTATTCCTCTAACATTACTCACAAGCCTGTTGCATGGCACTTTGACAAATGTCTTTTGGAAGTTCATGTACAGTGCAGTAAATGCATTACCATCATCGACTATCCCTATTAAGGCATCAAAATCCCAAATAAGTTAATTAAACATGATTTGCCATTAAGAAATCCATCTGTCTTTTTTTAAAAAATTAATTCACTGCTGTTCGAGTGACTCACAATCTTCTGAATTAAAGAAGTGTTATACCAAGTGAGATACACTCAAGTATCAGAAGCATAGAGCTGTAAATGTGAGGTGCTAGTCTTCTGACCTGAATTCCTCCAACTGGCATTGAAGGATCACTGAGTAACCCAACATTAGCAAACTGATGAAACTTGCTGATACCTCAAAAAAAACTCTCTCAACCAACATCAAGTCATGTTTTGTTACCCCATTGCTGTTTGAAAAACAAATAATTGTAGTGTTTCCCTATATTCTATGAGTGACTTCACTTCAAAAGTACTTATTTGGCTCCAAATTACTTTCAGCCATCCTGAAATCATAAAAGGGGCTGCATAAGCGCAAGCATTCTTGTTTGTTTGGATTGTTGTACCTGTGAATTACATTCAATATGATCAACACAGGGCTTTCAAATTTTAACATGAGAAGATTATGTTCTGACAGTCAGTTGTTTTAATCTTTATTCCTAAAATAAAAGTGCAATTTCTTCAAAAAGGCAGAAACTGAGCACTAGCTGACTAAGCAATTATGCTGGTTGAATAAAATGTTTAAATGGATTTGACAGCAATTATTGAGCGTATGTTCTATCAACTGACATGTTTGAACTGGAGTGCACCAAACTAGACGTAGAAAAATATAAAGATTTGCAAGTTGAGGAAAATTATTAAATTGTCTACATTTTAACATTGATTTAGTCTAATTATAGCACATAAATAAAATACACTTAAAGATGTTTGCATAACATAGTGACTGTGACAGTCTTTTTTTGTGTTATTGCCAATAGTCTTATCAGCTAAGAACATAGCACAATAAACTTGGGAGCATGAAACAATTCTTGATCAAATTAACTTAAAAAAGAACAAATATATTACAATTTCACAAACATCACCTGAAGGATAAAGACAGGTTAACCATCATGCTTTATGAGAAATTAAAAGAGCATCTGAAGAGGACTCCAAAACTGCCAAATTTTCAGAACATTTGTATTTGTGGGGTATTAAAAATCAGCCAAGTACTACACTTTGGCCACAATTATGCTGCCACTTTTGTATTGGTGTGAAATAGTTTACAATGCACATCAAAACAGTAGCAGTGCAATTTAAGAGATTATCCCAAAACACAAAAATTTAAGGCTTCAGATCTCTGTCCAGGAGGCTATTTCAGAGCAGATCAATTTCCTGAAGGCTTATTTGCATCCATGCCAAACAAAATGCAACAAAAATTGAAAATCACGTTAGTTTAGTTCATTGTTTTCTTTAATCATAAGTGCAATTGATATGACCTGATCATCTTTTGGAGAAAACAGAGATTCTCTTGTTATACAGGACAACTATCAGCTTTTAAATCTGGTCGTCAGCTTTTCAACTAATGTGTTTGGTGTGGGTTCTGGGTAAAGTACCACGGCTGACATGATGCGAACTGAGTGCTCCCTATGTGTTACTCTTTCACGTATGCCACAAGGTCTGGGTTCCTGTTGAATCAGATATCTTGAATATTATTAACAACATTGTTTTTATCCTTATAATAGTTCTGACTTACACATGGTCTGGCTTCAGTCCATACTGACTATATCTAGCAATGCTACAGAAACATCAAGCAGGATAATTCTACTGCTGCTGCTGCTATTGAAGGCAAAGCAATTACCTCGATACTGAAACATCACACGTTATGATATCATCTTCTAAAGATACGTTATCTATCTGGACAGGAATGGTACAGCCGCAACCCTTTTCCTTTAAAATACTGCTTTCTGATTGCAGTGTGCAAGGATACATATAGGTATATTATCTGTATATGTGAAGATAGCACTTTGGCAGATGTACAACATAACCAGATTTGTCATAATACAGTTATCACAATTTGGCTGCCACTCTGTGATGTGCAGTCTGTTGTTGCAGGTGGATGCATTTCATTTGTTATAGATGTGTGGCTGCATTCTGGCATTCGTTGTCCTGTTTGATGGATGATTGATCATATGCAGTACAGATATGTCACTTATTATTAGAAAGGGCTTGACTGTTGCACATTACAATGTCACATGAGCTAGGCTGGACACAACATCATATTGTCCTTCCACAAACGCATTTGCTCATATAACATTCTCAAACTTTTATACTTTGTCCTGTTTCAAGTTGGGATAACTGTCTGTACGTTTGTTGATTTTTTTGCACCAGTTTCTCTCTTCCTTCCAACAATGTATCCTACACATACAGTTGGATGGTGAGTGTGTGAGGAAGACCTGTATGTCTCTGCCTTCCAAACACAAGAGCTGTTGGTGAAGACAATTAATTGTCTGGAAGAATAGCACATATATCTCTGTTTCCCTGCTACAGGAAGGATGTTGTGAAACTTGAAAGGCTTCAGAAAAGATTTACAAGAATGTTGCCAGGGAGAGGCTGAATAGGTTGGGGCTATTTTCCACAAAACATTGGAGGCTGAGGGGTGACCTTATAGAAGTTTATAAAATCATGAGGGGCATGGATGGGATGAATAGCCAAGGTCTTTTCCCCAGGGTAGGGGAGTCAAAAACTACAGGGCATAGGTTAAGGAGAGGAGAAAGATTTAGAAGGAACCTAAGGGGCAACATTTTCATGCATTGGGTAGTGCGTATACAGAATGAGATGCCAAAGACAGTGGTGGGGGCTGGTGCAATTACAACATTTAAAAGGCATCTGGATGGGTTTATGAATAAGAAGGGTTTAGAGGGATATGAGCCAAATGCTGACAAATGGAACTAGTTTAATTTAGGATATCTGGTTGGCATTGACAGGGTCTGTTTCCATGTTGTACAGCTTGAAATTAATATAGCTATCTGAAAATGTTGCCAGGTTGCTTGACACTGGACTATCACAGATTTTATGGTATGGGCCATGTGATCTGTGAAACCATTAGCTGGATGGTAGTGAAGAGAACAGATAATATGTCGGACATCACTTTCCTACAGATGTCTTGGGAGAGTGCCCTAGTGTCCTTCCGACCAATGTCAGGCACAGGTTGTTGAGGAACACTGTATATGCTGAATATGACCTTTATTTTGATAACAAGTTGCAATAATGGGATCTTTGATTTATTGCACAAAAAAGGAGTTTGAGGAAATAGTGACCAGTAAGTAATTGTGTTCTTGCACATAGAAAAATTCAGTCAAAATCCAGCAGCGTGACTCAGAACAAATTTTGTGTGAAAAATGATTGTTATGTGATATATGTCACACAACTTGATTCATTGTTTATTGATGCTATTAATAAATGATTCATACTGATCTTTGGATGTTTATCATGCTTACGTAATCAATATGTACAATATATACATGATTTAGCTTGGCTTGATATAGAGTTTGTGGAATCATCACTTGTCTACCTTTAAATTCACATACATCCTCATACATTTCTGAATCTTCAGAGGACAAGTACTTGCTTAAGGAACTGTTGAATGCTATCGTCAGAAAGAGTCATTTGGGAACTTGGCTTATATCATACTTCTAAATTGTACCCTTGGATCTTCACAAGTAATTGTTAGAGTTGAGAAGATGCAATTGAGAGCAGCTTTCAACAGATAATATCCAATAGTTTGTGATCAGTACAAACAATTACATGCTTCCTGAATAGTTTGTAAAACTGTTGTATTCTGAAAACTAGAACAATAGTTTCTCTTTGATTTTGAAGTAGTTTGCCTGAAATGTATGCACCTTAGATTCAAATGTAATAGGTATGTCATCCTGTAATAGACACATTACAAGCCCTCTTTGGGATCACCATTTTAAGTACAAGTTGCTGGATAATAAAGCATGTTTGAGAGATTTGAAAAATATGCCGGTGATCTTCCTGCTAAATGTATGGTGTATCTTTGAGGAGAGGGTAGACTATGGTCACTAAGTTTAGAAATATGGGGAACAGAAAGTTGAAGAAAATGAGATACCTTGTAAGTCACTTTTTTTGGGGTCGAGGTGTTTTTCTTATGACTTCTATTTTGATAGGATCAAGTCAAAGGCCATTTAATAACTAGATTGATCCATATAAATTGATTTGTTTTATGTTGTTTTGACATTTTTACTGTTGAATAAAATACCAAGTTTCCTTGCTACTGCTGTGACTGTTGCTATGAGCTGTTGCAGGTTTGTATCACGCTAATGTTTTTTTAAAGGAATGTGATGTCATCTGTCACACTGAGATAACTTGGAAGATTCTCAATGATACAACCCATACAATATTGGAATATTTCCTGGCAGATGGATAATCCAAATGGTAGCTGGGGAAAAAAATATCAACCAAAATGTGCTCTAAAAGCTGTCAGTTCTTATGACTTTGGCGTCAATATTTTGTATCAAGTTTAGAAAAATCCATGGTGCTTCAGAATTGGGTTTAAGTTTCTCAATGAATCTTGTTTTTGGCACCTCTCTAGCGCAGTGTTTAGTTGCCTTGGAAACCAAATATACATGGAGAGTTTCATCTTTCTTCAAAACTCAAGAAACTGAACTGCACCAATAAGAATAGGGCTCCTTCTGGATCATACCATGAAATCCGATTCCATTTTGAGTTTGTCTTGACTGGGATTGCTTCACATATGAGGAGGGTTGATGCTGAGTTGGGCATCATCTTTCAGAAATAGCATCACATCACATTAAAAGTTGCTACTAGAGTTGTCTGGGTAAAGGTAGGTCAGCTGATGGATAGACTCTTTGTTGTATCCTGGAACTTGTTGGTTTTGCAACTAAGGGGTTTGTTGTCTCATGGAATATACTAATATGTAGACCTGTGCATGCAGGGAGACAGTGTAATACCCTTTGTTCATTGATTATACTTTGTTGTTCTGTTTACTGCTGCTATGATCTTTGAGTACCATCTAGCTGTCATCATGAAGGAGCAAATTACCGCAGATGCTGCAATCTGTACTGAGAGCAAAAAATGCTGGAAATCACAATGGGTTAGGCAGCATCCATGGTGAGAGAGCAAGCTAACATTTTGAGTCTAGCTCTTGAAACATTAGTTTGCTCTCTCTCCACCGATGCTGCCTGATCCGCTGTGATTTCCAGTATTTTTTGTTTTTTGTAGTTGCCATCATGATGTAGTTTCTGAATAAAACAGAGCTGCCAGTATGATATAGACCATGTACCTATATGTCAGCCCTTTTGACACATACCACAAAGACTAGGTTCTTGTTGAGAGAAAAATCTTAAAGTTCATAAACAGCATTAATGATTTTCACTGCTATAATATCAAAGACATGCACGCAGTGCTTACCGAATACATTGTGCAAAGAAATAGTAACTACAAGCAGATCATTACAGTTACTACTGTTACTGATACTACTGCTTCTACTGAAAGTGATGTGTGCACGTTTATACTGGAATATCACATGCCATGATGCTATCTAACTGTGTTAATGGTACACTACCTGCATGGTCTTGTATCCATGCAATGAAACAACAGTGTCAACTCGTCTGCATTTCACAATGCCGATATTTCCATTGATTTTGGAGGCTGTCAGTATTGAGAACTTAAATTACTTGGAAGCATTACTTGTCAGATATTGCTTTCCTCCTTTCATTATTGTGCAAAAACATAAAATGAATATTTGATTTTCAAGAGTCAGCTACAGATATGTTTAATCCAGATTAAAAAAAATGCATTAGCAAATAAGCATATGTAGTAACCTCAGCAAATCTTTTTACATTCTAAAAAGTATGTAAAACTATTGTTTAATGGTGTTTAAAGGAGTTTATTTCCTTCAATACTAGTTGCAGTTACGGAAAGGGATTATAAATCGATTATAATTCAGGTTGAGAGTTTTGAGAGTTATAAAACGACTAATGAGGAAGCAAGAAAAGGAACTTTGTTTGGTTTTGGCTATTACACCTCAAGAAGGATATATCAGCTGTGGAGCAGTACAGCACAGATTCACCAGATTGATAGCAGGGTTCATTGGGTTAAATTATAAGGATACATTGCAGAAACTTGGTTTATGTTCCTTTCAGTATCAAAGATTGTGGGGGTAATCTGATGTTTAAATTGCTAAATAAATTTGATATGATAGATGCAAATAAACTATTTCCTCTAGTGCGGGTATCAAGGTACCAGGGGATCTAATCTTAAAATTAAAATCAGAGCGAGAGCATTCAGGAGGAAAATTAGAAGCACTGTTTCATACAAAGTGAATGAAAAGTCTCAGAAGATAACGAATTCTTGGACAATTTGGTATTTCAAGACTGGAGTAGATAGATTTATATTAGGTGAAGATATCAAACCAATTTTGTTTTGGAGCAAAGGTGAAAATAAGTGGAGTTGCGATATAGATTAAAAGTGATCTCATTCAATGACAGAGCAAGACTGAAAGGAAAATGTGCCATTCTTTTCTTGATGTTCCTAATCCCAAATTTGCAAGTATAACGAGTCATTCTGGGAAAAAAAACTATAGATGCTACATTTATTAATACACAGGCTCACAGTCTTTGCAGATAGAAAGAACATGTGCATACATTGCAGCTGTTTCAACTCAACAAAATAGGTGATATTCATTCACTAGTTCATTTCTCAATGCAATACCCTGACCAATCAGAGTGTAATTATTTGTTTTAAAATTTAAACAACACCTGGTAGTTAACTATCATTCAGTACTAATGGGTGCATTCTCCATGGCAATGCCTTTACCAATCAGAGTCCATTTACCAATAAATCAGCATTCTTCTCTCATGCAGTATAAATGTTGGTTTTTCCCTTGAATTGGTTTCTTGAGAATTGTCCTGATGGGTGCAAAATGAAAAGCTTTCACAAAATGTCTTTTTTTCAATAATACATAAATTAGAATCATAAGGTAATTATACATTGAGCTGCAGTGTCATCACAATATAATAAAATAACTTACAGGTAGAGGGGGTAGGTGGTGTGTCTTGGTATTAAAAATAGCTATTGATTTTTGGGGTTTTGTGCTAGCTTCAATTGTTGTACCATGGCCAACTCGGTGATATTCTAGTCTAAGATTACCCGCTGAAGCAGGTCCTCCTGATAATTGACTAGCTGCGTTAGATTTGAATTCAATAGTGTCATACTACAAACCTGATGAGGAACACTTCTGATATCAATGTGAAAGTGATCCCAAATTTTCTGAATTACCAGTTTCAGTTGAGCTATTTATTATGGTTCAATGTGATCATACTGCTGTTTTTTGATTTCACCCAACTTTTAATAACGATAAATGACTAGTTCCTGATATAATAATATATCTGACATGTGTTACATAAAGTGCTAACCCAGAATTTCCTAATTGTACCTATGCAGACATTAGGCAGAATTTATGTCATTTTCTGATTTGGTCTTGATGATAGGAATTTATCTGAAAACTCATAAGGAGCTCAGTTGCCTATGAAAACAATTGGTACAAAACAAGCACAAAGACAGCTCCACACTTACACATAGGAAATGAACTGTAGTCTTTTCCATGGTATTTTGCTCTCTGAGCCACTTGTTTCTACCATTTCTTTTCATCTTTCATTGTTATGGACACAACCCACCTCCATAGAGCCAGGAAAACTCTACTCATGGTAAGCAATGTTATTCTTATTCTCAGTCCTAAATGTCACTTTTTCACTTTATTGATACCAGTACTAAGATATTTGCTCAGTAAGCAGGCATAAATCATTCATAAGTTTGTTACATGAATTAATTGCCGCTGGTCTGGTGTAGGTATCAGGTGAAAAATGGATCACTATAAACTTTGGAATCAGAAGCAGGGCTACTGAACTGGAAATTCTTCTGACTCCTGAAACCCACCTCTAGGATGGAAATCTAGCCCATTGATCCAACAATAGCTCCTGTGCACACATCAGAATTCATCTTCTTACGTATAGAGTTATAGAGTCAGAGAGATGTACAGCGCAGTCCAACTCATCCATGCCAACCTAATATTCTTAATTAATCTAGTCCCATTTGCCAGCATTTGGCCCATATCCCTCTAAACCCTTCCTATTCATATATCTACCCAGATACCTTTTAAATATTGTAGTTGCACCAGCCTCCATCACCTCCTATGTAGGTCATTCCATACATGCACTACCTGCTGCAAGAAAAAGTTGACCCTTGGCTCTCTTTTATATCTTTCCCCTCTTACCTTAAACTTATGCCCTCTAGTTTTGGATTCCCCTACCCCGGGGAAAAGGCTTTGACCAATAACCTATCCATGCCTCTCATGATTTTATAAACTTCTATAAGGTCACCCCTCAGCCTCTGATGCGACAGGGAAAATAGTCCCAGCTTATTCAGCCTCTCCCAGTAGCTCAAACCCTCCAACTCCATACCTTATTGTTACATGGAATTGATAGATTTCTGTTCCGTTGAAGAGTGGGGATGTGAGTGAGGGTGGAGATGGTGAAGTTATATTTCAACATTGTTCTGAGAAAGTGACTTTCTTGTATGTGGATTATTGAAATTTCTAGATGTGTTTGACATTATGACATTTTTCTTTTAATGCGTGAAGAATGTTCCCTCAGCAAAACTTCAAAAATATTTTTTACGAATTCAGCTGTAATTACTGCTGTTTCACCTTCCCCACTCTGAATGGTTAAACTTTTCCTTACCCAGCAAAGGTTTTCAAATAGTCACATTAATTTAGCTTGTGTAATTTATGTGACCGAGCATGTCGCAGTTTCAAGATTACATCATTGGAAAGTACGGCTTTGTATTACTTATTATGGTTAGGCATGTTGATGTTTTATTTTCTTGTTGTTGGCAGTGTTATGGAACTGCACTGAGATCATTGTATGCTCAGGAACACAGGCAGTGATTGGTGGAAGCTGGGAAATGGGTGAAGGTTAATGAGTTACCTTGCAGCCTAAGGAAAGAAATTTGTTTTTTCTTTAATCTAAGTCATCGATGGCCTCTACAGCACATTTTTGCAAAATGGTAATTTAGCTTGCCTGCAAGTACTTAAAGGAAACAGCAGTTACAAAGTTATAGGTATGTTCCAACACACAAACCAATAATTTATACTATCAAATTTCTATAGTTCCTTTTCCTTCACAAAAGCCAATTTTGTATCTTTCAGTTTTCCCCTTGATTACATTTCTATCCAAGTCCCTTTTCAAAGAATTAGCTTCCGCAACAGTTTGTATTGGGGAAGTGCAGATTCACTTTTTTCTGTTTAAAGAAATAGTTCCTAATTACCATTTTATTTGTTGTGTGATAAATTTAAATTAATGGGGCTGAACTTGACCAAATCAAGTGTAGTGTTATTGTTCAGTCATTGTTTACCAGGTTTCATAGAGGGTTTCTCTCTGTGAAACCTACAAGTTGTTGCACTATCATCTCAAACCCACCTCATTAATTAGGCACCACACCCCTATGGCGCCCTGCCTGTCCAATGTTAACCCGATTTTCCCACTTGTCTTAGGTAGATAGATTTGCCACTGCTAAGATGTTGCGGGATCATTGGCTCTGGCATCACCTTCAAAGTCCAGCAAAGTACTGGGTAAGCATTAGCAGCCCGGAGATGACTCACTCTCCAAGTAGTGGGACAGCATCCACAAATCGACATCACTCAAGGCAGACAGGTGGCATGGCTGATACTTCCTTGCACACCCTTGAACATTCCCATATCTGTCACTGGCTAAGACCAGACCCCACAGCTTACTTGTCCTTAGCCACATCCCATTTTGCCTTCCT